CGATTCACTCTGAGCCACGCCTATATTTTTTCCGGAAACGCAAAATGCTTTTTTTCACAGGATTCTTCGTTTAATTAAAGTTTTAATTTATCACATTATGTCAACATCATTCATAAAGGAAACAAGTCACACAAGAATCGATTAACACAATCGATTACTAAACAACCAAAATGAGCTACAAGTACAGATCCAACAGCTCATAATGAATTATGGCAAGGATTCGGTCGAACGACGCCACCGAGACGGCTATTATTGTAACCTAAGCCAGTTGAACGATCTCTGGCAGCAGTTTTGCGACCTAGATGAAGAAGTCCAGCAAGCGGCATTATCCACTGGAGATGAGTATGCTTCAAGGCTAACAGGATTAACGGAGATGGTCGAGAAATATCAGCGGCCCTTAAAAGGCTCCTCGGCGAATTCAAAACAATCCAAAAGACCCGTTAGTCAAGCAAATCAAGAGTGACTCATTGATCGACGCGGTTATCCGTCAACTAATCGTCTCTTTAGTTGACGGATGGCCGCGTCGGTTACGCAACGAATTATAATCATCTCTAATTCTGGCGTCCAATGCACCTACGATCACCCCAGCCCTACAACGACACCGGGAGGTTCAATGGGAATTATTGAGACATGCCCATGATGATCTCGATAATACGTCTGGGGCAGAGGCAGCCGCCAAAGAAGAAGTTAGTCAATTCCAGACCTTATATGAATAATATAATATGACCTTGCTTCGAGAAAATGACGCTCCAATGAGAATCTATCTCTACCGCCAATCAGTGTTCCCGAGTTTGATGGCGAATATCTAGATTGGCCACGTTTCACGACTTATTTGCGAAATTAATTAACTACAAGGCTCACTTCGCGTTGACCCAAGACAGATATAGCCGTCTCACAAGGCGGATGCGATGACACCTTGCAACGACTAAAAGCCAGGTACCAAAACGGAAAAATATTAGTATTTGCTGCAATAGGAGAAATCGTCGATTATATGCCCACTAACGGGTCTGCACAACAGCTTTGAGCACTACATGATACAGTGCGATAGACTTTGAGTACCCTTAAAAACCTCGATATCAGCACAAAATCCTGGGATCCAATCCTGTATTTTATTATCAGAAGAAAACTAGACCAACAGGCTATAGCTGCACTGGAAAATTCAGCGGATGCACCAATGGAAATTCCAACGTTAAGGAGTGTACTGACGTTTATTAAGCGGCGCGCTTGCATGCTGAAGACGTTAAGCGCACAACCTACAGCAACACCTCGCCATCAGTCAGTTCACAACGAAGAGAGCTGTAAGATTTGTCACCTAGTACCACATCATCTTAGAGCGTGTAGGGGTTTTCAGGAAATGGTCCCCTCAATTCAAGTGTTCAGCTCATAAGGTTGAAACCTGTGGATCACCAGCTAAGGCATCATTCCTTGTTACATAAAGGACCGACTAGCAATCCAATGTCCGGCGCAGTAACCATTACAGGCTACGACAACTCTACAGGATATGTTCTGCTCGCGACCACCAAGGTATCATTACAAGGGCCAACCGGTCAACTGCAAACATGTCGCGTTGTAATCGTATCTAAAGGAGGATGACAGATCTGCTATCTCCTAAGAATATGTCGTCACCGATTGAAATATCTGGAATTGGAGGAAAAATAACAACTGCAATAAGATCAATACTAAGGCTCTCGTAGAGGAATTTATTATTCCCACAGTCATTACAAACCGATAGTCATCACCGATTGCAAACGATTTTAATATTCCCGAGGGACTGCTGGTGTATATCCTCGTTTAAGACTAGGACCTATTAAACCTCTGGCGCAAGGCACAACGATTGGTTATGTAGTCACAGGTTTTCTCAATAAAGAAACCTCATCTGATACGGAAATCAATCTATTTTATAAGAAGACGTAGGCGATCTTGCAGGACTGAACTGATGATATGTGTAGCCAATAAAGAACTAGCGACACTGACTCGTCCGAACGAGAATTATCCGCGACATATAATGGTTCTTTGCAGCTGGCTGAATTACATACTGCAAGAGAAAAACCAATTATTATAGCACCGACTATTCATCACTTTAAAAACTACTACTACTGACTTTTGTACAACATATCTAAATTTTACCAAGAAATATCTAAGCTTTTTTGCAGAAGGTCCACATACCATAGACGTGCCAAATGATAAATTTCTACGACTGCAAAATTTCAGTCCCAACGGCAATGACACTTTTTGTCGCAAAGGGAAGTTAGGCAGCATTAAGAAGATATAAAGGACTTTAATCAGGAAAGATCCTCCACGGTCAATGAATTGTTAGCTGCTTTCTATACAATTCCGCCAAGGGCTGACCGACATCACGCCTTAATTGAGGGTACCCCTCAATGGGGGGAGAATGTTCGTACCCATGGCGCTCAACCATGAACAGCACCCAACAAATCAAGCAGTAGCCAAGTTGGGAACAGTACCAGGCGCTCAGTAGCACCCACTGCAGATGAGAATTGCTGATCAGCATATTATATGTCTCACTAACTCACCGTCTCACCGACTGCACGGCAGTGTGCCGTACCCGCCTATGCAGTCAGCACAGTATGCAGTGTCAGCCGAGCAAGCTACGCACTCTAGAATACCTACTCTAGAATAAAGCTTATTTCACTAATAATTACACTAAACTTCCGTGTTCCAAGAGTATATAAGCATGTATAAATTTAAGACCAAATCAGTTATCAACGCAACTTATAACTCCGCGGTTCCACCTCCGGGAATAGAGCCCGTAATCCTACACTATCTCAACTAGCAGGTAACCTACGTTAGCTCAACCTCAGCGCAGTTACAGCACCGTCTGTGGTCCGGCATCGTAGTAACCATCGTTACCATTGACGCGACCCGATCGTCATGCCATCAAAGCGTCCCCGTGCTAGCGACAAGTGCTCATTACCCCCTTGTCCCGAAGCGTAACCCAGAAGTGTATACTTCGGTTAGGCACAAACAATGTATTTGTTTTTGGTTTGTTTACTATTTAATTGTTAAACCACTATAAACCTAGATACGTTCACGTGAATTATGTTTTTTGCTATTGCAGTAGTAAATAGTTAATTAAAAATAGTTATCCTAACGTAAAGTCTTCGACACACCCAACAAAATTTCTACAATGTGCTATTTGTAATTTCCAAGTGGGTCTAGCGTCTCGTACATCTAGACTCCCAGTCTAGCATCTCGTACACCTACACTCCCAAGCCAAAGCCTGAAAAGTTAAGACTTTTAGTATTACGTATATTCTCCAACATTTTAATATACTTCCACACCAGCTGGAAGTTGTCTACCATTTTTTAAAATTACATACCTATTTCTTCTAAACGTAAGGGTTTTGCGTACGTAAGAATAACTATTTGGTGGGTTAATTTTACTGTTTTATTGGTCAATTTTACCAATCGATTTTTTGTGCGTTAATAGGGCCATATAGATGGTGATATTTTTTCGCTGTATAAAATCGAAAAAAAAGTATTTCCAGAAAAAGAAAACTCAGAAAACCATAACTTTGTCAAAACTGAAGACATGCTCATGAAAGGTTTATGCAATATTTTTCGAAAATAACACAATAGTATGAGAATCGTTAAAAAACACACGTTTTTGATCTCTTAAAAGATGCCCTTATTTTGTCTTCGAGCTTGTTTAGTGTCGGTTTATTGCTAACTTTGCAATGTTTATTACTAACGCGTTGATTAGGATCAGGTGGTTGAGATGACCTGTAAGTTGCGAAAATCATTTCTCTCCAATATTTTCCACAAACAAATACTTTTAAATACAGCGAATAAGAAATATTTTAACTTCATAGCTTTCCCTCTTTGACTTTGTCCGCGCTTAAGACAGTCTTTTTAACGGGTATCCAATAGTCAAGGGTATCGACTAAAGCGTTTTCTCTTGTTCTTTGACACCGACATTTACTTTTAGGGGTAAAGTTGGTTGGAAGAGATTTTTGTGACATCCCTGATGGAGTTATTCTTCAAACTCTTCCTGCTTCCTGCGTTAGAGTGGGCGTGGAATATTAGCATAAACTTGCGCTCCATAGCTTCATTATGGAATCTAAATCTGAAATCTGGACTCTCTTTCTCTCATAGTTTCCGAGATCACAGGCGGTCAGACGGACAGACAGATGGCTAGATTGACTTGGCTAGTGATCCTGATCAACAATATATATACTTTATGGGGTCGGAAACGCTTTCTTCAACTCACCATTTTAATTTTGTAGGTCATGGGTTACCTAATAAGTATTCCCAAATTTTTCCGGGTGTATGTTGGTTCTGTCAAACGCCACGTCCACTCACACGGCCACAAAATGCAAAAACTAGTGGCGCCCACATTATAAAAAACAAGGAAGAACGCTATAGTCGAGTACCTCGACTATCAGATACCCGTTACTCAGCTAAATAGAGATATGCAAGCAGCAAAGCGAGATTAAAATGCGCCACCTACCGGCGGAATACAGATTTAAGCGTTATGGGCGTTAGAGTGGGCGTGGCAAATTTTTTTTTAAGTCAATCGATAGGTATTTATGAGAACAATACATTTTAGTTAAAATTTTTATTCTAGCATCAAAACTGTAGGAGCCACAGTTTTGGGCGGTTTGTGGGCGTTAGAGTGGACGTGGCACTCTGCCAAGAATCTACATGTCCAATGCCAATATTCTAGCTCTTATTGTATCCGAGATCTCAGCGTCCATATGGACAGACGGACATTGCTAGATCGACTCAGATGTATCCTTTTTGGGTCGGAAACGCTTTCTATTATCTGTTACATACTTTCAGACGAGTTTAGTATACCCTTTCACTAGACCAGTAACGGGTATAATAAATGGAAAACTTAACGTATGCTATTATATATTTAAATTCGCCATCTGCAGGCCAGCTCCTATTCGCAATATGCAGACATGGTTTCATCGAATTCTGTAGCATTTTGATTTTTAATGTCTAACTAACATGTTCCGCCTATTTGAATGATTCCAGCACTTCAATATGCCAAATTGGCCTCTTGCCAAATTTGATATCGAGGCTGATAATGCGAACTATTCGTGCGTGTCAACAGGCAATACAGTAGGTGCTAGCATCAGGAGTCGCACTTATTTTGGCATTGAATGTAAGTAGAAATATTAACGCTCAAGCGTTAGCATATCCATAGCTGCTTAAAATCAAAATAATTTTCCAATAGACGCTCCTGAAAATATTACGGTTTCGGAGAACATTGTGTTTGTCCAAGAAGATACCATACCAGGACGTGTAATATGTAAATCCCGAGCTAACCCAGGTATTTTTTTATTTTTTACCTATGTGTATTCATTAATTATGTGTCAAATCTACAGAACCTTCTTATAAGTGGTTTTTCAAAAATGAAACAATTGCCAATGGAAATGCATTAATTATTAATAAGGCAATGGAAAGAAAAGATAATGGCACTTATACCTGCCTTGCCTATAACAAGCATGGCACCAGTATTGCTGAAACTGTAATCGAAGTGCAATGTAAGTATAAAGGTTGTGAAAGATATACGTCGATATTATATTTCTCTATTATTTCATTATTTAACAGTTAAACCACGCTGCGAAATTGAGAGAAGAGAAATTGATGATCAGGACACGCTTATTTGCACTGCCTTTGGAAATCCCGTAGAGGTAAGTTTAGTGAATAGACGAAACAATATAGAGAACGAAACCTAATCTATGCAGGGGTGACACACGTTTTGGTCCGATATTGTTTTTTTTATAAGTCAAAAATAAAAATTGTCCTTTTAACTGCCTTTCTATGAAAATAAAAAAAGTAGATTATGAGCTTGTGTGAACCTGCCACACAATTTGTTGCCATGTTTCGGTCCAACTTTGTCCTATAGATTTCACTCTCTCGATTTCGCAAAATCAAACTTGGAAAAAATCCAAGCGGCGCTGTGACTGCGTTCGATGTTGTGGAGAGAATGACTGTAACTTCCAGAGGGAGGTGGTCAGAGAATAGTTGACTGCTCACTTTGAAGTCTTTGATAGTTTCTATCCGGTTCCGCGTGCCATACATACATAGGTCGATGGTGGACCGAGCTTCACCTCTCATAAAAGTGTAATCCCCCAAAAGATCGCTTTACGACGTTCCATTGACCACCGTGAAGCCAAACAGCTCGATCAAGTCCATTAGGTGCCGGCCATTGGCGTCTGTCACTTTGTCTTTGGCATTACGGGGGAGGGAGCTGTGTCTAACTGGTGGTCGAATCCGTGAAGTTTAGCTTCTCCCAGCCTTTCGTTACAATCTCTATGATCAGTGCACTTTCATTTAATCAAGCATGGCTTAAAACCTGGTATAACTTCCCAGAATCTCTTTCTTTATATCTTTATATTCTATTCGTGAAGTTATTATACCCGTTACTCGTAGAGTAAAAGGGTGTACTAGATTCGTCGGAAAGTATGTAACAGGCAGAAGGAAGCGTTTCCGACCCCACAAAGTATATATATTCTTGATCAGGATCACTAGCCGAGTCGATCTAGCCATGTCCGTCTGTCCGTCTGTCCGTCTGTCTGTCCGTCCGGATGAACGCTGAGATCTCGGAAACTGTGGGAGCTAGGCTATTGAGATTCGGCGTGCAGATTCCTGAGCTTCTTACGCAGCGCAAGTTTGTTTCAGCACAGTGCCACGCCCACTCTAACGCCCACAAACCGCCCAAAACTGTGGCTCCTACAGTTTTGATGCTAGAATAAAAAATTTTAACTGAAATGTATTGTTCTCATCAATACCTATCGATTGACCCAAAAAAAGTTTGCCACGCCCACTTTAACGCCCACAAACCGCGAAAACCTGTGACGCCCACAATTTTCATGCTAGATAAAAAATTTTAACTGAAATGTATTGGTCTCGTCGATACCTATCGATTGATCCAAAAAAAATTTTCCACGCCCACTTTAACGCCCACAAACCGCGAAGACCTGTGACGCCCACAATTTTCCTGCTAGATAAAAATTTTAACTGAAATGTATTGTTCTCATCAATACCTATCGATTGATCTAAAAAAAAATTTGCCACGCCCACTTTAACGCCCACAAACCGCGAAAACCTGTGACGCCCACAATTTTCATGCTAGATAAAAAGTTTTAACTGAAATGTATTGGTCTCGTCGATACCTATCGATTGATCCAAAAAAAAATTTGCCACGCCCACAAACCGCGAAGACCTGTGACGCCCACAATTTTCATGCTAGATAAAAAATTTTAACTGAAATGTATTGGTCTCGTCGATACCTATCGATTGATCCAAAAAAAATTTGCCACGCCCACTCTAACGCCCTAACGCTTAAATCTGTATACCGCCGGTAGGTGGCGCATTTTAATCTCGCTTTGCTGCTTGCATATCTCCATATAGCTGAGTAACGGGTATCTGATAGCCGAGGTACTCGACTATAGCGTTCTTCCTTGTTTTACCTTAAGATGTACAAAATCATACATTTAAATAAAAAAAAATTTCAAAATCGATTTATTTTTAATTTTTTAAGCCTTTTCTTTAGTTGGTGCTATTTTGTTGCCGCACAACTTTGCTACTTTTTTGATAAATGTATCGAAATTTTAAAAACCGTCAGCATTGTGGGCGTAACCACTTTTATTTTAGTTAATAACCCTAATTACTTTTACAAACATAATAAAAATATTGAAAAAAATGACCATTTTGTGGCACAAAGAAGAATTGCCTACACGTTGGTGCTATTTTTGTTGCCGCAGCTGTACATATATATGTATGATAAAACAAGTTTACAATAATAAACAAATGAAGAAATATTATAATTTGATACAAAATATATTTCAGACATTTTAATTGCAATATGAAAAAAATTTTATTGAATATTGTTTGACGGCTTCCTAAGAGTTTAATCCTGATTTCATCCCTCATCAATGGTCTTGAGATGTATGATATTCCCTCTTTAACTGCTGTGTTCACTGCTGCCCAGCATTTCACTGGATCATTTGACCCCAGCCCATATTAATTGCTAATAAAATTCGCAATGGCTTTTTGCAATCAACACGGATAACGGCAAGATAAGTCGTTTCTTTTAAGAAAGATTTTGAGCAGTTTATTTATTCCATCTTACAAACTACTGTTGAAAGTATGATAGAGCCAGTTTACTACGACGCTTAAAAACAAGAAAAGCGCTATAATCGATGGTCGCGACTATTAGATACCCGTTAGTCAGCTAAAAGGGGTGCGAGAGGGATGCAGATATGTTTACTTGTGGCTAGCGCCACCTAGCGTTAATTAGCGCCACCAAGCCTATAGCACCAACTAGCCCAATAACGTCCTTAGCTGTTTCGTGGCGTATTAGAGAAAACATCTGATTTGCTTCATGTGGTGTGTAATCTCGACTGAACTTGCAAAATTTTTGGCATGTATACATAAACAAGTTCGCATTTTAATTATTCCAAAATATTACAAAATGTGGGCGCTGGACGGATGTGTTATGGTCGATTGTGGGCGTTAGAGCGGGCGTGGCACCCTGCCGAAACAAACTTGCCCTGCGCAGGAAGCCAAGAATTTGCATGCAAAATCTCAAAATTCTAGATGATATAGTGTACGAGATCTCAGCGTTCCTACGGACAGACGGGCATGGCTAAATCAACTCGGCTAGTGATCCTGATCAAAAATATACAACCCTAGTCAAAATTATTTTCACAACATACAATTATATGCACATTCCAACTTCTTTTAGTTGTTATTCTTGTTGTTGTTGAACAATTTACCTGAAATAAATGTTATCGCGTAACTTGATCTATGCTGAAGCAACACAAAACGAAATGCGAAAGATAGCGGTTCATAGGACAAAGCTAAAGGCAAAAGAAAAAAGCCTATCAGTTGTCAAAAGTATTTGCGCACGTTTTATTCGCTTCAGAAGTAATTTCATAAAACTTAGTTTGATTTATTTCAGCTTAATATCTCATTTTAACAAAAGATTTTCTTAATTTTATAAAAATACAATGACAGCTTGTAGTCTTTTAGGTATTGACCTTACCAAAGTTTGGGCATATTCAAGGGTGAATTTGGACCAAATTTCGTCAATTTCAGCGATGACTCCGTCGCGTTTTCTATTTTTATTAATCGTTATTTGATTTTTTATAAAAGCTCAAATGTTTTCAATGATATTTAGGTCTGGGCTTTGTTGGGGCCGAGGAAGAACCGCCTGATTAAGGTCGCTCAAAAATTTGGTCGGTATCCTACCCTTGTGGCATGGAGCATTGTCCTGCTGAAGAATCATTCATAAGTACGAAAAAGTCTATTTCCTGACATAAAAGCATGGTCATTAAGGATTCGAACGTATCCGTTCTGGTTTAAAGTTCCTTCTATCGGTACGAGGTCTCCGAATCCATAATAGGAAAGGCATCCCCAGAACATGACTGTGCCACCAAACCTGTTGATTGGCTGGGCCAAATGCTTTTGGTATTTCTTCAAATGCATAAAATTATGGCTGTAGGACCCCTGGTACTGAAATGCAGCCTCATCCGTCCATAAAACATTAAACCAAAAGTCAAGAGGCTTCTTAATATATTCCTATGCAAATTGAAGCCGTTTTGTTCGGTTGGTTGGTGTTGTTGCGGACAACATATGTATTGAAATCAGCTTCTTTTAGCCAGCGACGAATTGTAGAATCACTTTTTCGCTTACCATTTATATTTTTTGATGTTGGGCAATTTTTACTGGACTTGCACTGGGATTGCTCGCTACAACTCCTAGTAAGTGCCTGCATTCTCTTTGGTCCACAGGTTTTCGGCATGATCTTTTCTTATTTTTTAAAGTGCCTGCTGTATCGATCTTTTTTATTAAGTAGTAGACATTTCTGCGCGAAATTTTATACAATTTAGCGATTTCAGCTGCTGAAATACCGGCTTTAAGCTTAGTAACAATTTTAGACCGGAGATCAATGGTTAACTCCCTTGTTTTAGGCATTTTGTTTGGATAAATGTAAAAGATAAATGATTATTTTAATTGAATTTTCACTGAATTGAATTTATTAGAGCAAATGAACCGCAACTTGTCGCTTCAAACCAAATACTAATGATTATTTTTTACATCTGTAATGTTATTTTCTGCTAAGTTTCTGTTCGCCAAAATTGTGCCAAACACAAGTTCATTTAGCACTAACAACTTTTTTGATGCTACATTTTTTCCCAAGCCACATGAAACAAGAAAGAAAGTTAACTACGGCATGCCGAAATTTGTAAGCCCTTGCAGTTATAATTATTAAATTTAACTCCAAATCCTTAAAAATACAAGAAATTATATTCGCAATAGTTTAAGATAACATGTCAAAAAACACCGAAGCTATAATTTGTTTCATATAATTTTCCCACCAATTTTCCGATCGTTCCTATGGCAGCTAATTCAAAAATGTTGTTTCCAAGCTTAGGAGGTTATATGATAAAAAACACCAATCACACAAACACTATACCATATAGCTGCCATAGGAGCGATCTGACACCATAAAGTATATATATTCTTGATTAGTCTATTCCGTCTGTCAATCTGTCTGTCCGTCCGCATGGACGCTGAGATCTCGGAAGCTACAAAAGCTAGAAAGTTAGGATTTGGCATACAGATTCCTGAGCTTCTTGCGCAACGCAAGTTTGTTACGTCAGTGTGCCATGTCCACTTAAACGCCCACAAACTTGAAAAATCGTAAATATGAACGCTGATATCTCGGTGATATCAAGGATATAGAATTGGGATTTCAGATTTAGATTCCGTAGCCGTGTATGCAGAACAAATTTGTCACGCGAATATGCCACGCCCACTTTAACGCTAACAAACCGCCCAAACCTGTTGCGCCCACAATTTTCATGCTAGCAAAAAAATTTTAACTTAAATGTATTAGTCTCGTCAATACCTATCGATTGACCCCATGTACTTAGAGTGATGTTCCCAGAGTGACCCCATTCGTTCAGAACCCAACGTTAAAGTTTCGGTCATATTTTATAAACGACCGTTCATGAATTGTCAACAAACGGTCTTACGCACTTTTTGACCCCGTTTTAACGGACTTTTTTCTGGGCGTACCTACGTTATAAATTATAAATGAATTGTCAAATAATAAAAAATTTTTACATATCTTGCAGAGTGATTTCTCTTGGTCAATAAAAGCTGACAATGAAACGGTTGAAGTTTTGGATAGCGGTGACAAAAAATCATTTTTGGAAAAGAGTTTTTACGTTCTGCAAGCGGACTATGCCATTTCCAGAACTTATAGATGTGTGGCGAATAATACAATTGGTTCTGGAACATTTTGTGAAATTGAAGTAGCTGGTACGTATATATTATGTTATAGCTTGGTATGCAACACAATACTTTTGAACAATATTAACATTTTATAACAAACAAGAGTTAACGCTTTAGTCGCGTGCCTCGACTCTTAGATATTTGGAACTCATATAACGGTAGTGCGAGGGATATGGAAATATGCAAGCAGCAAAGAGACTGTTTCTGATACTGGGCATTACTTATAACGTTTTATTTAATTGTATTGATAACACCAAAGTACCCCAAGAAGGGTAGTTATTGGTAGTTCTTGGTTGAGTTGGACCCTATATGACAAAAACAAAGTCAAAGCCAGAAATAACGCTGTAGTGGATGGCCCCAGCTATCAGATACCAGATCAAGAATGTGTATTAGGGCGTGTCGATTTGGGAGCTTAAAAATCGTATAGAGGGAACGTAATCTTAAAAGGATTCAAAACAACATTGCCGAACAAACATTGGTCGAAAATGGCTTTTGACCCCCAAACTCGAATCAAAAATACTGTCAAAAAATATCATAGTAGTCTACTGAATTCAAAACCATTTATTTTTGTTGTTAAAAGGTCACTTTGACAAGTTTGATTATTGTATACATCATAGGGTCGGAAAAACTTTCTTCTATCAGTTACATATATTACGATGATTCTAATATACACTTTTGCTCTACAAGTTAGGTTAGGTTAAGTTAGGTTAGAACGGCTGCCAGACTATAGTCTGACACACTTAGACCTCTGTGGGTCCATTGTGATACCGTATGATCTCATTTTTCCTTCTTTTATTTTTTGGGTCCTCTATCTTTTATGTTTTTGACCTAGAATTAGGTATCAGGCAAAGAAATTTTGTATGGATACGATTAGTTAGTTTCTCCTAACCAATTTAAGTGATTTATGTTTTATTTTACAAATATAAAGCCACCCTTTAATTTAATTTTTTAAAAGTGCGTGTTTTTCTTTCTCAATTTCTCTTTAAACTTTAAATTGGTGAGTGACCATGGTTTCTTTACTTATCAAATTCTAGTAAAAGAAATATACACCAACGAGTAAAACTGAATTACGATTTATCAACATGTTCTTTCCATTAAGGGGTTATATACCTTTTTGAGCGAAAAAATTGAGGGAACTTTGGATTTTTTTCAGGTGTGTAGCAAATATTTTATGACACTGAAGTTATTATTTATTTGTTGTTCGTTTGTTCTTGAAAAAAAATAAATAATTTACGAAGTTATCGCAGTTCTCTCGGAACCCTTTTTTTTATAGCGGCGCACGGTGGCCACGATGGAAGTCCAGCAAGTCAACTGAAATCAAAAAACCAAAAAAATTTTATTAGTATAGTATTATTTCCAGTTCGTGAACGATTATTTTCAAGAATATTTGTTTTTTTCTGCATACAGTATCGATTTTTCCAAAAAGTTGATTTTTCGAGTTCTAAAAATTTTATTAAAAAATTCTGATCTGCAAAATCAAAATTGGCGCATAAGAACTGAATCGTTCACGAACTCGGCACAATCATTACGAATAATTTAAAAAAAAAATGAAGAAGATCGATCAAATAGTTCTTGTGCAATCGCGGCCACAGCAAAGGCACTTTTGGAAAAATACGACTTTGAGATAATCGCACTTAAAGTTTTACGTTGAGTATATGCAACTATTGAAGACGAGCAGACAAACTTACAAGTCATCGTCGAATTATTATTCGGATCTCTATGAAAATTTGGGAAAATGTTCTCTGGGGGATATACTTTAGGATTCAGCAAAAAAGAAATTTTTCGTTTTTTTGAAAAAAAAAGGTATATAACCCCTTAAGTCTATTCGTGTGAAACCATTTTGATTTTTTGACAAATCTTACATTAAAGGAGGATTTTAACTTCGTTGAGCCTAACATATATCTAAGAATTAAAAATATATTCTAGGAAAAGGTTGCCTTCCAAGCTTAACTTCGTCGAGCCTAACATATATCTAAACATTCAAAATATATTCTTAGAAAAGGTTGCCTTCCAAGCCCCCAATCTTCTAAGCGCCTGGCTAACAAATATCTTTAAACCAAACCAAACTTCATAAGTATTGATCATTTATGTTAACATTTAAGCTTGGTCTAAATAAATCTAAACATTCAAAATATATTCTAAGAAAAGGTTGCCTTCCAAGCCCCCGATCTTCTAAGCGCCTGGCTAACTTAATAATAGTTATTACTTACGTATTGCGCATTATATTTTGAGACTTCTTAGCAAAAAAAAGTTAGTTAAAAATTGTTCAACTTGGCATTGAGTTTACCATGGGTAAACACACAACACACACAAAAAAATATTATTGTTTGTTTATCAAAAAAAAAAAACGGTTTCGCTGAATGCTATTTTTACTATCAGGAAAAATAATGTTAATACTCAAGACCACGGTCCACGAATTCTTAAGAACTTACATGAAGAAATAAAGGCGCGGTCTGCATTGGTTCTGTTATAATCGAATTTCAAAGTTACGTGTTTTGCTATAAAAATAAGGTTCCCTTTTCTATGATTTTGAGTGTTTTGTATAAAAAACATAAGGGCTTTTTATCCCTTGTCAAAATAATAATCATTCTAAATGATGTGACAAAAATGTGTAAAAATGTAATCTCTATGTAAAGGACTAAATTAAGCTAAAGCCTAGTACTCACATCGACGAAAATCGCGAGCTAAGCATAGAAGTGAGCGAGAGGCAATAATGCGGCTAGCGCTTTTCTTCGGGTCTGTTTTTCAGCGCTGTACTCAGATGAGCTAAGGAAATACCAGAAAAAATACCAGATTTCGCGAGTGAATTTTCGATGAACCCCGTTAGCCGCGGCCCAAGGAATAAGAAATTTAATCTTTGACGGTGTTCGTGCAGAAGCGGTGGGGAATTCAAAAATTAACAAGGAAGAACGCTATAGTCGAGTACCTCGACTATCAGATACCCGTTACTCAGCTAAATAGAGATAAGCAAGCAGCAAAGGGAGATTAAAATGCACCACCTTCCAGCGGTAGACAGATTTAAGCGTTATGGGCGTGGCAAATTTATTTTTGGATTAATCGATAGGTATTGACGAAATCAATACATTGTGGGCGTCACAGACTTAGGCGGTTTGTGGGCGTTAAAGTGGGCGTGGCCAACTTTTTTAAAGTCAATCGATAGGTATTGATGAGAACAATACATTTCAGTTTTTTTTTTTTTATTCTAGCATTAAAACTGTAGGAGCCACTGTTTTGGGCGGAATGTGGGCGTTAGAGTGGGCGTGGCGTCTGCAGAAACAAACTTGCGCTGCGTAAGAAGCTCAGGAATCTGCACACCAAATCTCAATAGCCTAGCTCTTATAGTTTCCGAGATCTCAGCATTCATCCGGACAGACGAACAGACGGACATGGCTAGATCGACTCGGCTAGTGATCCTGATCAAGAATATATATACTTTATGGGGTCGGAAACGATTCCTTCTGCCTGTTACATACTTTCCGACGAATCTAGTATACCCTTTTACTCTACGAGTAACGGGTATAAAAATGGAAGAAAAACTCAAAAAACGGCTAAAGGAGGTCAGTGCGGATGAAAAAGGACGCTTAATCCAAGCTTTTGCCCCTTATTGTGGGACTTGACCGACAGGAAGCAATACCACAACGGGGAAAATCCGCAGAATTGTTGAAGTGCTGGATAAGATCCCCTAGAGAATCCCAGTGGGAAGGAAAATGGGACATCGCTCGATCTCTGACGAGCTCTCCATTGAGGACTGCACCTCCACCAGCTACGCGCCGGCTTCTTTAGGAAGGAGAAAATAAAGTCACCCGCTAAGGGACAGCTGGAGGAGCCATTACCAGCAATTATTAGACAGTCTATTGGGACTCGGAGCTGGACTACAGATGGCGCGGGAAAGATGGCGAAGCATCCGTGGGACGAGAAGGAAGCCTTAACTTATATTTTACATAAATAAAAAATTTCGTTTAACAATTAATTTATTTTTATTTTAATTTCTTTGTGCACCAGCAGACTCTTTTTTATTAAATTGCTCCAATTGATTTGTTTTCCGTTTGGCAACAAGCCCAGCTGCTTGACATTTTGAAATCCTTGAAAGCTGCGGTCACACTACAAAGATCACGATTTTTCGACTAGTAAAACTCTTAGCCCATCTGAGTACTGGGATTAAAGCATAGTACTCAGATCGGCTAAGAGTTTCACTAGTCGAAAAATCGTATTCTTTGTAGTGTTACCGAAGTTTTCAAAGTTCACCCGCAATGCATGTAGCATGGTCTTACTGTCAAGCATTTGGGTTTGAAATTTAAATTTAAAAAGGAGGAGTCTTCTGGTACACAAAGAAATTAAAATAAAAACACATGGAATGTTCAACGAATGTTTTCATTTATGTAAATTAGTAGTTTAAATCTTCCATTTCGTCCCACGGATGCTTCGCCGTTAGGTTAAGTTAGGTTAGAACGGCTGCCAGACTATAGTCTGACACACTTAGACCTCTGTGGGTCCATTGTGATACCGTATGATCTCATTTTTCCTTCTTTTATTTTTTGGGTCCTCTATCTTTTATGTTTTTGACCTAGAATTAGGTATCAGGCAAAGAAATTTTGTATGGATACGATTAGTTAGTTTCTCCTAACCAATTTAAGTGATTTATGTTTTATTTTACAAATATAAAGCCACCCTTTAATTTAATTTTTTAAAAGTGCGTGTTTTTCTTTCTCAATTTCTCTTTAAACTTTAAATTGGTGAGTGACCATGGTTTCTTTACTTATCAAATTCTAGTAAAAGAAATATACACCAACGAGTAAAACTGAATTACGATTTATCAACATGTTCTTTCCATTAAGGGTTATATACCTTTTTGAGCGAAAAAATTGAGGGAACTTTGGATTTTTTCAGGTGTGTAGCAAATATTTTATGACACTGAAGTTATTATTTATTTGTTGTTCGTTTGTTCTTGAAAAAAAATAAATAATTTACGAAGTTATGGCAGTTCTCTCGGAACCCTTTGTTTTATAGCGGCTTACGGTGGCCACGAT